TGTAGATCGTTCTTTTCAGGCAAGTATGGCACAGGCAACAAGTCAGAAGAAAATTCAAGGCTTTGAGCCAAATTCTTTCCTCGGTATGATCCTAACATCCATTGTAATGGTGCAAATGGTTTGTAAGGCTGGTGGATCTGGAACACAAAGATATAGACATTCAGCCTCATCCAATCAGTCTAGAACCTGATAATGTGCCTCTGTCTCAAATTAGCTTCTCATAGACAATAACAACAGCTCCAGATCTCTCTGTCTGTTGGCTCTTTAGGGTACGTCTACATTGCAATGCTATTTTGGTATACCGGAGTATCCCGAAATAGCTATTCCGCATCTTCACAGCAAGCCCATTCTTTTGGGCACGCTATTCTGATGTCCCTGTAAACCTCAGTCTACAGGAGTAAGGGATGTTTTGGAGTAGCGCTTTATTTCGAAATGTGGTGCTGTGTAGACAGCGTCAAATGACGAAATAAGCTATTTCAAAATAGCATCGAAATAAGATACGCAATTTGCATAGCTCGAATTTCATCTCTTATTTTGAGTTACGGAGCTGCGTAGATGCACTCTTAGAGACTCGCAAGAGCTCACAGACATTGACCTCTCCCTCCCATCCCCCTTCTGTTCTGAAATTTGATTTGTCCTTTTCATATGTGTTCATTTTTTTTTAAATTGTATCCTTTGGTATATATGGTTGTGACCGTTTTCTTCCACTATTTGATCTGAGGAAGTGGGTCTGGCCCACGAAAGCTCATCACCTGATAAACCATCTTGTTAGTCTTTAAAGTGTTACATAGTCCTGTTTTTTGTTTCAGGAAAAAACAGGATTTTTCAGTAATATCTGTTTCAAACTGCATAATATTTCATCCTTGTCAGGTTGAGTCAATAGGGTAAAAAGATCCTCACTGCAGACAGCACTAACCTACCGGATGGCAGATTTCAGGAGGTGTCAATACTTTGTTCCTGTTGCTGACTGAATGCATAAGATTGGCCAGTCGTTTGTTCATCACCACTCTTGACAAAGTGCTGGAAGTGCCAAGATCCTTAGTAATTCAGACTGCGTTGTACCTGTCAGGTATGCTAGAGGCCACCAAGTCTGAGAATGAACAGTACAGCTGAAAATTCTAGTTTCCCCATGACTAGCTTATTTGTGCCATTAGCTCCTGCAGTATGTTCGCTAGGAGTTGAACAGTCCATGAAAGCTCATTTATCTTAAGCTGGCTCTGTGTGTGTGAGTCTGAAGGGTTACAGTGAGTTCTGTTAAATGTGGCAACATAGTGAAGATACAACATGGATATTCTTGTATTCTAGCTCAGAACTTGAGGAGTCGGCATTCTACCCCACTAACGCAGGTCACTCTAGGTACTGTGTGAAGTTAAAGGGGACCTGCATAGAAACAAACAAACAAGAGCAGCTGTGCCCCCTTTATTTTATTTTCAGTGATATTTGATGCCTGAAAAGAGGCTTGTCCAAAGGAAGGATGAGGATTGTTCTAATTATGGTTGCCTTTTACATTAGAGACTCAAGCTGTGTCTACACTGCTTTCTTGGAAGACACTCTGTAGACAACTGGAGAATCAGTAGATTATGACAAGGCTGGTACCAAGGAGTGAAACTTGAGCAATTGAGAGAACCCTTTTTTTACTCCATTTAAAACTCCATTAGTTAATGGCTGGGGCGGGCACTTTCCTTATTAAAAAACAAACAATTGAACTCAAGCACCTGAAGATTGTTTAGAAGGAAAGTTCAGATAAGGGTCTAAAGATCTTCCATTCTAGTCCTCTGCTTTGCCTAAAATATGAAAGTCAAAAATTCAGTATTCTTGATGTTTCTAAGGTTTAGGAAAAAGCAAAGAGGGAAAAAAAATCTTTTCACTATTCTTTTGTACATTAAAAAAAATCCCACTACCCCAAAACATAAAGACCCAAAATTAATGTTTCCTTTGCATGTAAACTTTGCGGTGTGTGCTTTTATACACTGGCCGGGATCCACTGAGCCATGGGAAAATGAACAAAGAATTTTTTGATTTTCATCAGCTTGGGACAGCCACCACGGGCCTCAGACCAAGGTTGGGGGGCGGGGCAGCCCTCTGGCGGAAGGCATAGGGCCAGGGCAGCCACCCTCCCAGCCCTCAGAGTTGCACAGACCAGTGATCTGACAGCAATTCAAAAGGGCCCAGGGCTCCAGCCACAGCTGTTGCTTCAGTAGCAGTGGTGGCAGCCAGAGCCTGGGAGCCTCTTTGAATCGCCAGCCCCCGGGACAACTGCCCTCTTTGCTCCCGCCCCACTGGCGGGCCTGAGTCAGAGGTGGAAAGTCAGGGTTAGGAGATCTGGCTTCTGGTTTTAGCTCTGCTGCTGAGTCACTGTTACATTTGGTACCGTTGTGCCTCAGTTTCCCCATCTATAATATAGCAGTAATGACACTTTTGAGATCCCCAGATAAAAGATGCTGCACAAATGCAAAATAATATTGATTTAGTTCTCGTCCCTCTGTTGGTCTGATGCATGTTTATACTGCTGCTGAGTGGGGCCAAGGGAAGATTCTTCAAATGCATTAAACTAATTTAGTTCTTGAGTATGAACTAACAGTCGGCGACTGCAAGGTCCAAACTGGCACCTAAACGTTGAGCTGTTTTATCTGGCCCATCCCCATTAGCGGGTCCCCTCCCTCTGAGCTTCCATGACCATCTCCCTTCATACCACGACAGATTTCCCTCAAGAGGCCACACACAATGCCCAGGGAAAGCTCTAGCAAACTTCCAGATCCCTGTGCTGCTCTTCTCTCTACCACCATCTCCTGGCAGTGCTAGTAATCAGTTCCCTTACAAGAGCTACATTTCCTCATGTATTAAGGGAAACATTTCCCTTTCCCTGGACTTGCCATCCTCTACGTCGGGGGAGGGGAACCTTTTTTGGCTTGGGGGCCACTGACCTGCAGGAAAATCAGTTGGGAGCCACACGCAAGCGAGAAGCGGGAGGACTAGAGCACCAGCGCAGGCTCCCCAATGCTGGAGAGGGGACCCTGCGCCTGGGGAGCCAGAATCAGGCAAACGGGGAGCCACTTCTGGCCCCCGGGCCTTCGGTTCCTCACCCTTCTTCTATGTGCCACTAATACACCTGCACTCATATCAATGGGTCCAGTCTTGCTCCTGCTGGAGTTGATGGCCACTGATGTTTGTCCTGCAGGATTGAGTCCAGTGCACACTAAATGGTGCTGAGTATACTGCAGAATTGGGACCTATTTTTATTTTCTTGGGGTTTTTTAGGGACAATGTTTTGCTATTTCAAAATAGTTTGTATCTGAAAAGATTCCTTCGAATGTAGTGAAATCTCGGTTCTCCCAAGCGGGAGCATTTTGAAGAGCAGTGAGCCTTTCGCATTTCTTAAGAAACAGCATACTCTAGTGGTACTGCAGTTCTATTGCAACCGAACTGTTGCGTAATGGATTTCAAACCTATATCATAGAACTATAGAGCTGGAAGAGATCTTAGAATGCCATCAAGTCCAGCCCCCTGCCCAAAGCAGGACCAATCCCAATTAAATCAACCCAGACAGGGCTTTGTCAAGCCAAGACTTAAACACCTCTAGGGATGGAGACTCCACTACTTCCCTAGGTAACCCATTCCAGTGCTTCACCACCCTCCTATATGCAGCAAAATAAATAACTGAACAATGCCTGCCTTATGTATCTATTTTTCCCTGTAAACAAGCTCTGGCCTTATGCAGCTACTTGCTGTGTAAGTTGTATTTGAGACCATTAGGAATAATGGTGGGTTTTAATACAGCACTTGGTGATAAATGAACTCTCTTTTTTACAACCCGCTCCTGCTCACAATACCTTTGTGAGATAAGGAAAGCGCTGTTGGCATTTCACAAATGGGGAATGCGATCACACAGGAAAGGAAAGGCCCCGAAAGTGAGTGTGTGTCAGAATTTAGCTAGAATCCACATCTCCTGATTCCTGGCCCTGGGCGTTAATCTTTTGCTCTCATTGTCTTTGCTGGCAAATCACCTTTGCTTTGCAGGACTGAAAAACCCAGGCCGAGAAGAGCAGGAATCTGTGCAATTTGGGTCATGGGGTGTTGTGGAAATAATGTGGCACTAGCAGGTTTGAATGTTTGTAAGTTGCAGGTTCTAACAGGCTCAAAATATCACAGCAAGGCTACCTCTACACTGGCATGATTTTCCAGAAATGCTTTTAACAGAAAAGTTTTCCGTTAAAAGCATTTATGGAAAAGCGCATCCAGATTGGCAGGACGCTTTTCCGGAAAAGCACTTTTTGCGGAAAAGCGTCTGTGGCCAATCTAGACGCGCTTTTCCGCAAAAAAGCCCCGATGGTCATTTTCGCGATCGGGGCTTTTTTGCGGAAAACAGTCCTGTGCTGTTGGCACTGGCCCTTTTGCGCAAAAGTCTTTCGGAACAATACTTTTGCCCGAACAGGAGCAGCATAGTATTTCCGGAAAATCACTGACGATCTTACATGAGATCGTCAGTGCTTTTCTGGAAATTCAAGCAGCCAGTGTAGACAGCTGGCCAGTTTTTCCGGAAAAGCGGCTGATTTTCCAGAAAAACTTGCCAGTCTAGACACAGCCCAACTCCTCCCAACTTGCCCTACCAAATGTCACCTGGTTTTATGTCAAAAGCCTACCCCCCTGCATGGTTTCAATGGGGAATCTATACATTAGCCCAGACTCCACCTCAAGGGTGAAAACCAGAGCCAGTCTTTCAGGGCTTAGTTCCAAGTTTATAGTACAGCGGACTGCTGATACAGAGGCTCCTGCCTGCTTGTCCCCCTCATCCCTGTACTACTGCTTCTCTACCAGGAGGTTTGCCTGACTCAAAACAACATTTTGATTATTTCAAAAAAGTGTTTCGGGATCTTAAGAGTCAGCCCTGACTTTCCAAGTGCAGCTTCTTCACAGGGACACCTCTCTTATGCTCCAACACTGGATCACTGAGCAATTTGCCACCCAGCTGTTTGAAGTTCAGGCAAGGGAAGGCGACTCACCCTGTGCGGTAACTGAATTTCTTTGAGATGTTTCCCTGTGGAGGCGCCACGTCAGGTGTCAGTGTGTCCCAGCGCTATTGATCAGAGATTTTCAGTAGCGGCGTCTGTCTGAGTCAAGCACATGCAGTGATTATCTTGCAGCATCGTTGGCACCTCATCTAATGCACATGAGACTTGACCCCCTCAGTTCCTCCTCCACTCTCCTTGGGCTGAGATAGAACTCCATAGTGGTATCAACAAACCTGGGAAAAATCATTAGGAATAGTTAGAATTAATTAGTGACATTCCATTTTACTTCGTTAATAGTTTCTCATCATCTTTTTTTTCCCCTCTAAAAACCCCCTCCACTGATTACAAGGTGCATCATCAGCATGGGACTCTAACAGCTGTTAATTAAGCGTTCACCTATCTGAAATGCATATCCTGTGCACTTAATCCTATAGCCTTCACTGACGCTAATGAGAGTTTTGCCTGTAAAGGAACTGCAGGATTCAAATCTAGATACCACTGGTATATTATTTTTTACTATGTTTAAACAGCTGGAGAGCTGGTTTTTCCTAATACCAAGAGACACAGGAAGTCCATAACTAAGCTGCGATCATATAATGTAAATGACCTGAAAAAATTCATCCTCCCATCCTGAAGTCTGTGCTCATATTTTTTTTTTTTTTGATCTGAGGAAGTGGGTCTGGCCCACGAAAGCTCATCATCTAATAAACCATCTTGTTAGTCTTTAAAGTGCTACATTGTCCTGCATTTTGCTTCAACTACCCCAGACTAACACGGCTACATTTCTATCACATAACTAATAGGTACATGATCATATCAAAAGAGAAATTAATTTGTAGTATAGCAGGCCATGATTAATGTTTATTAAAGTCAAGACACATTGGTTTAATGATATACTGTGTGTGTATAGAGATGTGCACAGCTGTGACATTAGTGATGAACATTAGGACTTTTATTCACTTTAAGTTCCTAGTTTTGGTCATCTAGAGATTGCTAGTCCCATTTTAAGGTGTGATTTTACTTAGACAAGTATTCCAGAATCAGCACATTCTTGCATATTGAGACTCTGCTATTGGTTCCTACTTACTGGCTTTCTTTGTCAGCCCGTTTGTTTTAGGAATAGAAATAAGGTTTTACTGCCGTTTATTCCTGTCAACCCTGTAGGAGCCAGAAAAGGGGAGCTTCTTGTGCATCAGCAGAATTGGCTGGCAAGTTCCAATTAGGGATGCTAAAATGCGTTTAATTGTGTAAACATGTAATCGCTGAAATTTTCAGCAGATACACATTTACATACGGGGGGGGGGAGGCAGGAGCCGGTGCTCATGGGGACCTGGCTCCCTTCCCCCTCCCCCTGTGCATAGTGGCTCCCTCCTGTACCCTGTGCTGCTGCCTCTGTGGGAGGCAACGGCAGGGGAAGTGGCTCCACGGGGCAGACAATCATGGAGAACCAGCTTAAAAGCCAGCTTCCCACGTGTGCTGGCTCCCACCTGCCCCTCCCTACATGCTGCTGCCTCTGATACAGAGGCAGCAGTGTGGGGAGGAGGGGGAGGAGTCATCTCAGCAGGCACCAGCTTGAAAGCTGGCTTCCCACATGGAGCGGCTCATGCCTGGCCCCCTCACGCCCGTGCTACTGCTTCTCTATCAGAGGCAGCTATGCGGGAGGAGAGGGGGCAGGCAGTTCATCAGAAGCCGGTGCCTGTGAAGAGCCAGCTTTTAAGCTGGCTCCCCCGAGCACCAGCTCTGCCTCCCCCTCCCCCATTACTGCTTCTGATAAAGGGGCAGCAAGGGGGCATGTGCATGTACTCGTTAAGATTAACCAGTAAGCCCAGACCTGTTAGTTAATTGTGTAAACGACTACACACTAAAATCCCTAGTTCCAATCGCTCTGCCGTGCTCACAGCCTTGCTTTCAGAACGGCACGTGGGCAGTTTGGTGGCTTTCGCTCAGACATCACACAAAAATGTTCATCTCAGACTTGCAGTAGGATGGGTCTGAACCCGAGCGCCACATCCAGTCTCTCCTTAATTGGGTGGAGGTTCTGACCAGATCCAGGCATTTAGTGCAGCATCCTCTCAACTTTGCACCAATTGAGCCCTGCCCGTGTTTTGCCGGTGGCCTACTGCCAGAAATGCTCCCCAGAGGCAGAGGACGACTCCTGCTGCGCTTCCACCGCCTTGAGTCCCAGAGCCCCAGATATGGGGCCTGAGCCCTGGCTCTTGCAAATGGGATGTTGTGCAGCTCATAGGCTAAATGACCTTTGTAGCCTTGGCCATTCGCAACTGAACTCAGATGTCCGCATCGCTCCAGTTCATTGTGCCCGGCCTATGGCTGTGGTTTGGGCTTGCAGCTGGCGTAGGCCACTGCTGAAAGAATCCGATCAGCAGCACTGTTCTCAGTCGTATGCCCTGCGCTCCAAGGAGCTGCATGGTAGGTTCCTCCCTCATAAGCCTCTAGAATCCAAAAGGACTAGCAGGATAAGGCAACAGCGATGCAACAGGAGAGTTATTGCGTCCCTGAGTGGTCCAGGTCTCGGGATGTAAACCCTTCCTTTTTCTGCACAGCATGTTCTGGTATTTGTTTGTATGCTTGTTTGTTTTTTAATTAAGAAAGGTGGAGGAGAGGGCTAGCCGTTCAGAAAGTTATAGCGCGTCCCGACACACAATCAATCAGGCAACACATGGGAGTGGATAAGCTGAAATGTGATCAATGAAATGAACAGCTGGATAACTATTCTCAGAGAGCAACAAGGAGTCCTGTGGCACCTTATAGACCAACAGATGTATTGGAGCATAAGCTTTCGTGGGCAAAGACCCACTTCGTCAGATGCATGTACATAAGGTGCCATTCCTTGTCGCTTTTGCAGATCCAGACTAACACAGCTACCCCTCTGATACTTGTTCTCAGAGACTAATTATTAATGGTTCACAGTCTTGCTGGAGCGGCATAACAAATGGAGTTCTGCAGGGGGTCAGTTTTGGGAGAGGTTCTGTTCAATATCTTCATCAATGAGTTAGATATTGGCATAAATAGTACGCTTATTTAGTTTGCAGATGATACCAAACTGGGAGGGGTTGCAAGTGCTTTGAAGGACAGGGTTAAAATTCAGAATGATCTGTATAAACTGGATAAATGGTCTGAGGTAAATAGGATGAAGTTTAATAAGGACAAATGCAAAGTGCTCCACTTAGGGAGGAACAATCAGTTTCACACATGCAGAATGGGAAGTGACTGTTTAGGAAGAAGTACTGCAGACAGGGATGTAGGGGCTATAGTGGACCACAAGCTAAATATGAGTCACATGATTCTCTGATGCATTAACAGGTGTGTTGTGAGCAAGACAGGAGAATTCATTCTTCTGCTCTACTCTGCACTGAGTAGGCCTCAATTTGAGTATTGTGTCCAGTTCTGGGGACCACATTTCAAGAAAGATGTGGAGAAATTGGAGAAGGTCCAGAGAAGAGCAACAAGAATGATTAAAGGTCTAGAGAACATGACCTATGAGGGAAGACTGAAAGAACTGGACTTGTTTAGTTTAGAAAAGAGAAGAACGAGAGGGGATATGATAGCAGTTTTCAAGTATCTAAAAGGGCGTTACAAGGAGGAGGGAGAAAAATTGTTCTCCTTGGCCTCTGATAGGACAAGAAGCAATGGGCTTAAATTGCAGCAAAGGAGGTGTAGGTTGGACTGCGGCAGATGGAATCCTCTGTGATGGAGATTCCCTAGGCAATTTATTCTATAATAATGTACAGCGAAGGTCAGCTCAAGGCAACAGAGGATTCCATCTGCCGCAGTCGGTCGAAAATCGTATCAGCTGTAACAGAGATAAAGACCCCAGGCCGGAAACTGGGGACCGAAGGCCTTGACACCATGAATTTGCATATTTCTTCTAGTGTAGCCGAGGCTGCATGCATTGGACCAAAGGAGCTGCCGGGTGGGATGGAAAGGGAGTTAGGTCCAGGCCCTTCATGCTGACCAGCCAGGGTCACTGGCTTTGTTTTGCAGCTCGTTGTGCTGAGCTGCAGATCCAGTTCACTGAAGCTGTTGCTACGGTTGCTGACCAGAAAGAACTCATCATCAGCCTGGAGCGTGACCTCAGCACTATCCAGCCCATGTCTTCCATGCGTCGCCCTGATGCTGAGGTAATTCCAACGGCTCCTTCTAGTGGCCAACCTGTTAATTCCAGGAGATTTCTTTGTGTTCCGTTCCTTTTCCTCTCCCCCACTTCTCTGCCTTCCAGCCCTTCGCCTTCTGCGATCCCAGATACGGTATTTTGCCATCCCACGATCTTCAAAACCTCCATGCTGTTCCAACTAGGTTCTCAGTTCTTCATTCTCTCTGCTGTGCCAGCTAATCTATTGAAACATTTCCTGCTCTAGTTCCTCAAGGCCCCAGAATTCTCTGCCTCCTTATACCCCACTTGAGTGTTCCCGTTCCTCACACGACTTGAGGGCCACCACTAGGACCCTGCTGAGCCCCCCGAGATGGATTTCAGCTGTGATAGGGGAGCCCATCAGGAAAACAAAGGAGGAACGTCCAAATTCTCCCCGATCTCTTGTGAATGCTTCTGGAGTCGGCCCGCGCTTTACTTTGTCACATATTTATATTCAGGCCTCGTAGATGGTTTGAGACTTAATGCTCCTGGCTGGACCGGAGCACGGGGTAGAGCTGCAGGTGTCAATGCAATGAAAATGTCTCTGGAGCAGGAAGTCAGAACTTGAGCCATCTTCCTTTGTACAGTTCAGCCCTCAAATGTTATAATCTGGAGCCCTTATTCTCAGACTAGGGGAAAGCATAAATCTTCAAATCACCCCCAAAGAATCTGGTACGGGCCTCAGCGAGGGCAGGAGAAACTGTTGCTCTGACTGGGGGTAGGGTTGCCTCAGCTTCTGACCTGTGCGCCTCACCTGCCCTCAGCGTTCCTATTCACATCTGATTTCTCCACCTAGGGTGCTGCTGACCACAGTCTAGAGAAGATTCCTGAGCCCATTAAGGAAGCTACAGCCCACTTTTATGGTAAGAGTCTGGACTTAGTCCAGTTGATGCATGGCTGTTAGATTGCTGGGTGTCTCCGGGAGGTCAGCATGGCAGGGCTGTGGAAGATCACAGCTTTACGTACTATCTGTGGGGTTCATTTGCCAGATGCTGAATGTGCTGAGTATTTACTTGTGTCATTTTCGTAAGAGGTAAGTTACCCAGGGAAGGGCAGAGACTATGTCATGGGAGGCCCAGTTCA